TATATATATATATATATATATATATATATATATATATATATATATATATATATATATATATATATATATATATATATATATATATATATATATATATATATATATATATATATATATATATATATATATATATATATATATATATATATATATATATATATATATATATATATATATATATATATATATATATATATATATATATATATATATATATATATATATATATATATATATATATATATATATATATATATATATATATATATATATATATATATATATATATATATATATATATATATATATATATATATATATATATATATATATATATATATATATATATATATATATATATATATATATATATATATATATATATATATATATATATATATATATATATATATATATATATATATATATATATATATATATATATATATATATATATATATATATATATATATATATATATATATATATATATATATATATATATATATATATATATATATATATATATATATATATATATATATATATATATATATATATATATATATATATATATATATATATATATATATATATATATATATATATAATCTATTATTATAAATTTATTTATATAAATGAGTCTCTGTGCATAAAAAATGCATATTTAAAAACAAGAATGTTTAATATTATATACCAACAGTTTATATATTTATATATAGTAAATTATGTATTTATATTAATTTAAATACATTTAAAACTTATGAATAAATATGTAAATAGACAATGTGCTGTAATAAATTATTTTCTTGTATAAGCATATTTATATAAATGTGACCCCGATCCACAAACTAAGTGTCAATTTTGAGGAATTGAGGATTTTTTAATATTACTTGAACTTGTGTTTCCACTAAAGTATGATTTGTTAGGATTGCACAGTGTTTGGCAAGAGTGGTAAAACTGTTAGAAAATCTGGAATCTGAGGGGGGAGAGATCTAAATATTGAGAAAATTACTTTTGTCTATATAAAGTGCTCAGCAACATATATACATATAGTTAAAGTCTGAATTATTCACCCCCCTGTTTTGTTTCCCCTAATTTCTGTTTTAACTGAGAGCACACATTTCTAAACATAACTGTTTTAATTACTCATCTGTAATAACTGATTTATTTTCTCTTTGTCATGATGACAGTAAATAATATTAGACTAGATATTCTTCAAGACAGCGAAGCAGCGGCGCAGTAGGTAGTGCTGTCGCCTCACAGAGCAAGAAGGTCACTGGTGCGATCCTCGGCTCAGTTGGCGTTTCTGTGTGGAGTCCACAGTCCAAAGACATGCGGTACAGGTGAATTGGGTTGGCTAAAGTTGTCCATAGTGTATGAGTGTTGGTGTGAATGTGTGTGTGGATGTTTCCCAGAGATGGGTTGCGGCTGGAAGGGCATCCGCTGCGTAAAAATGTGCTGGATAAGTTGGTGGTTCATTCCGCTGTGGCGACCCCGGATAAATAAAGGGACTAAGCCGACAAGAAAATGAATTTAGCCTACCCAATTCACCTGTACCGCATGTCTTTGGACTGTGGGGGAAACCGGAGCACCCGGGGGAAACCCACGCGAACGCAGGGAGAACATGCAAACTCCACACAGAAACACCAACTGAGCCGAGGTTCAAACCAGTAACCGCGACCTAGCGACCTTTTTGCTGTGAGGCGACAGCACTACCTACTGCGCCACTGCCTCACCGATAATGAAAGTTATTAATGTAATATATAAATGTATATATTTTTCCAAATGCATTCACATGATCAAATATCTTCGTATTGGTCATATCTCGGATTCGCTCTTATATGTCATGGGGTCGAGTGGTATGGTGGAGTGGAGGATGTCGAACTCGATCTGATTGTCCATGTCTAACATGCAGAGCATGTTACTGCCGGAGCTCACGGCGGCCGAGTCCTGGAGCATTTTCTGGAAGTCTGAGGGAATGGTGTTTATTTGATCCTCCGGCGGCTCCTCGTCCTCCTCCCCGCAGCACAGAGCCACTTCATTCTCGTAGCAGAAGGCGCTGGGCGAGTGCGGCGGCATCAGCGTCTGCGGCGTCCCAGAGCGAGACGAGTTCGAGGACCGCCGGCGGGTCAGCTCGTGGAGCTCTTTAGCGCTGCAGCCGGGTGTCGAGGGAACCTCGTAGGTTTTATGAAAATGTGCGTAGTCGACCTGATAGCGGTCGTGGTCCTCGAAGATCACAGGCTCGAAGCGATGCCCCCACAGGATCTCGCGGGACAGGTAGGAGCTGCGTGCCTGTGTGGTCATAGCTGTCGCCTCCACCATTCCCTCCAGGATCACCACGATCTCGAAATCATCTGACTCTAGTTCTGCTCGGCTCATTCCCCACAGGGGAGAGTCCTCATCGATCTCGTGCACGATCACAAGTGGGGACACCAGGAACAGGCGGTCTGTCCCATCATCGTAGCCTACGTTCAGATCCGTCTGCTCCAGAGGGATGAACTCACCCTCTGCTGTTACGTACGGCCGGATGAGCTGCGCTCGCACATGCGCCTCTACAATGTGGCTCCGCCGGAGGTTCCCCACGCGCCACATCAAACACAGCTTCCCATCGCGTAACGCGATCACGGCATTTTGGGAAAACATCAAGGTTTGGTTCCTCTTCTTTGGACGTGCCATTTTAGCCATGATGGTTCCAATCATGAAGGAGTCAATAATGCATCCGACGATCGATTGCACCACTACGGTCACTATCGCTACAGGACACTCCTCAGTCACGCAGCGCCAGCCGTAGCCAATCGTAGTCTGAGTCTCGATGGAGAACAGAAACGCCCCGACGAACCCTTCAACATGAAGCAAACACGGTTTCCAGAGCTTTCCGTGCTCTTTCTGGAAGTCTCCGTGAAGCAGAGAGACGCTGTAGAAGATGACGCCGAACAGGAGCCAGGACAGCAGGAACGTGGAGCAGAAGACCAGCATCAGGTAGCGCCAGCGGATGTCCACGCAGGTGGTGAACAAGTCTGCCAGGTAGCGCCGAGGCTTGTCCTCCATGTTGGCGAACACCACGTTGCACTGGCCGTTTTTCTTGACGAAGCGGCTGCGGAGCTGGCTCCGGCCGGACGTGGAGATCTTCCCATTGAAGCCGGAGCCGGTGACTGCAGTGCTAGAGGCCCCGGGGCTCGGAGACAGCAGGCGGGGGGAGACTGGCGAGTGCAGGCGGGCGGAGCCGTGGCCGTTGTGTAGGCCGAGGGTGGCGATCTTCAGCCGCTCCTCATCTGGAGACACGATGCTGTACCTGAGACAGAGCAGACATGAGGGTCAGGAAATGAGGAATTATTGAGCCTGTTGAGTTATAAAAACAAGAAATGTCATTAGTTATTAGTCAAACATCTCCTGTGTGCAGCACTAGTGTCCTCCACATCTCCCTCTGTTGTGTTCTGATGTGATTTCTGACTGTTGCAGCTGTGAAATAACTCTAATCATTCAGCGCAGTGATATGGACAACCCAGGCTCATTCTGAAAACGTAGTCCCATGGACGTTTCTAGAGACTGCGAATTATGTAGCCGGAGGTACGTATGGCTGCATTTCATTTTTTAACCGAATGCTACGGGGCGCTATGACGCTTACCGGCTGACCGTATACCTCCGTGTGGAGGGCTTTCCCGCTGAAACTAGTTTGTCCAGTTAGCTCGTCGTGTACGTTGGCGGACTTGAGACACAGAGGGGAGTTGACCACAACTACGACAACCAGCTTCGAGTCCGGAGAAGAGCAGTTTCACATATCAGGTAAGACGAAAACAGAATTAAGTTCATAACATGGTGAGAATGTGGTAAAATCCGAAAAACGTGGTAAAAGTCAGACAAGGGCTTTTCTTTTTATAGACGGCTTTTGTAAATTGTTGGTTGGGTTTAGGGAAGTAAAGGCTGATTTATACTTCTAGGTCAAACGCTGGCGTATGCTACGGCGCTGATGCATAGCCCTTCGCCGTGGCCGTTGGCGTCGCTGATGTGCACCTCTCAAAAAATGTAACAACACATCGCAACGATGCGTAGCGCAAGCTCTGTGATTGGTCGGCTTGTTAGCGCTGACGAGTCTGGGCGGGACCGAGAGCCGCGTGAATGGTGCGAGCCTGATGGAGCGATTGTTTACAAGTGTGGAGTCCCGTGAAGGAGCTCCGGATGGAAAGTTTTGTTTTGTGTTTACCTCATAGTTAAAGTTGTTGCTCGTCCGCCGGTTCCTGCCTCAAAATGAGCGAGTTTGAGCCACTTGTACAACCAGGAAGCGTTCAGAAAGAACAAAACAGCAGCGAAGAAACTAGACACAGAGGAACATTAACACCTCACTGCCAACTAGCGTTTCGGAAGTGTTAAGGCAGATCAACAGAGACAGCGCGCAGAAGTATAAATGCACAGCTACGCGCATTGCATGCGCCGTGGGTTACGCCGGTCACTTGACGCAGAAGTATAAACCAGGCTTATGTGTGTGGGCAGGTCAATCGGTAAAACTGGTTGGGTTCAGGGAAGTAACTGTGTAGGCGGGTCAATCGGTAAAACTGGTTGGGTTCAGGAAAGTAACTGTGTGGGCGGGTCAATCGGTAAAACTGGTTGGGTTCAGGGAAGTAAGTGTGTGGGCGGGTCAATCGGTAAAACTGGTTGGGTTCAGGGAAGTAAGTGTGTGGGCGGGTCAATCGGTAAAACTGGTTGGGTTCAGGGAAGTAAGTGTGTGAGCGGGTCAATCGGTAAAACTGGTTGGGTTCAGGGAAGTAAGTGTGTGGGCGGGTCAATCGGTAAAACTGGTTGGGTTCAGGGAAGTAAGTGTGTGAGCGGGTCAATCGGTAAAACTGGTTGGGTTCAGGGAAGTAAGTGTGTGGGCGGGTCAATCGGTAAAACTGGTTGGGTTCAGGGAAGTAAGTGTGTGGGCGGGTCAATCGGTAAAACTGGTTGGGTTCAGGGAAGTAAGTGTGTGGGCGGGTCAATCGGTAAAACTGGTTGGGTTTAGGGAAGTAAGTGTGTGGGCGGGTCAATCGGTAAAGCTGGTTGGGTTCAGGGAAGTAAGTGTGTGAGCGGGTCAATCGGTAAAACTGGTTGGGTTCAGGAAAGTAAGTGTGTGGGCGGGTCAATCGGTAAAACTGGTTGGGTTCAGGGAAGTAAGTGTGTGGGCAGGTCAATCGGTAAAACTGGTTGGGTTCAGGGAAGTAACTGTGTGGGCGGGTCAATCGGTAAAACTGGTTGGGTTCAGGGAAGTAAGTGTGTGAGCGGGTCAATCGGTAAAACTGGTTGGGTTCAGGGAAGTAAGTGTGTGAGCGGGTCAATCGGTAAGACTGGTTGGGTTCAGGGAAGTAAGTGTGTGGGCGGGTCGATCGGTAAAACTGGTTGGGTTCAGGAAAGTAACTGTGTGGGCGGGTCAATCGGTAAAACTGGTTGGGTTCAGGGAAGTAAGTGTGTGGGCGGGTCGATCGGTAAAACTGGTTGGGTTCAGGGAAGTAAGTGTGTGGGCGGGTCGATCTGTAAAACTGGTTGGGTTCAGGGAAGTAAGTGTGTGGGCGGGTCAATCGGTAAAACTGGTTGGGTTTAGGGAAGTAAGTGTGTAGGCGGGTCAATCGGTAAAACTGGTTGGGTTCAGGGAAGTAAGTGTGTGGGCGGGTCAATCGGTAAAACTGGTTGGGTTCAGGAAAGTAAGTGTGTGGGCGGGTCAATCGGTAAAACTGGTGGGGTTCAGGGAAGTAAGTGTGTGGGCGGGTCAATCGGTAAAGCTGGTTGGGTTCAGGGAAGTAAGTGTGTGAGCGGGTCAATCGGTAAAACTGGTTGGGTTCAGGGAAGTAAGTGTGTGGGCGGGTCAATCGGTAAAACTGGTTGGGTTCAGGGAAGTAAGTGTGTGGGCGGGTCAATCGGTAAAACTGGTTGGGTTCAGGGAAGTAAGTGTGTGGGCGGGTCAATCGGTAAAACTGGTTGGGTTCAGGGAAGAAGGAGGGTGGGTCAGCCGATTGGCGCCCAGTCAATCATTTAGACAAGTCAGACAGACAGTCGTGCGACAGCGGCCTCTGGTGGTTTTAAATGAGAACAGCATGGGCGCAAATGGCACTCATGAGAAACATTTAAGATGCGAAAAAGCTCATACAGCGGCCTTTCATGGATTGCAAAAACTGCAAAAATATGCACCTCCCGGGAGGTATTTCGGGGTCTCCTGAAACGTCCACGGGACTACATTTTCAGAATGAGTCTGGGTTAGATATTTTTTTTCTATATTTTTAGAGCTTTAATGCGCTCTAAACCTGCCGGAACTACTTTAGCTGTGCCTGTATCAATAACCAAACACCTCAGCCAATCAGAATCCGACATTCAGCAGTGGTATAAGTTTCAATGTTTAGCTGAATTGATTTATTCAGCAGCTGACACAGGTATTGAGCTGAAATAAGCATCACTGCTGTCCTCTGAGCTGAGTCTGAGTTCATCAATGATGGACATTG